TCTCAGAAGGACGATGGAGGTGACAGGTTTAAATAAGAAGGTGTAACACTCTCGGAAGGATGACAGAGGTGATAGATTGACTGAAAGAAGGTGGTTGCTGTCAAGTTTCATGCTGGGTAGAGAACAAACACTTGAGAGCGTTTGGCAAAGGGTGATGCGGTTGCAAAAACAACAACAAAAAAAAATCCAGGTAGGAATTTAGGAATTTGGGAAGCATCTTCAAAGCTTATTTCTTGGCATAAACATTATTCCTCGGTGACATTTCATACATTCCAGAAGATTCAGGTAGAAATCCTGTGGCTACAGCCGACCATGAGGAGAAGTGTCGGAGGAAGACAGGACAGTATATTCCAAAGTATCCTGCATGCGAAGGATGCGTACATGGGAAAGTGCTTTGTCAATTCCTAATATTTTTATTTAAGAACATTAAAACGTCCCAGAGAAATGCCACCATTGCAGTTTTGCCCCGGCAGCACAGCCCTCCTTCAGTCGAAGTCATCTCTGTAACGGTGTTTTTGTTTCATGTTGCCCTGCACTTTATACATCTGTACACCAAACAGGTTGTATACGAACACAGAATCAAAGGCAAGCAGTGGAAGTGTTTGATGACAAATCCTGCCAAAACTGGATTATTTCACTGGATGTAACGCCATGTACTGCAATCAAGTGTCTATACTTACAGATATCAAAATTAATTTTATAAAGAAAGAATTGTTGTTTATCTTCTGGAATAGTGATGTTCACTTTAAGTATATTTAAGCAAATTCCAACATAAACATCCTCAAATTTAATAGGTTTGATATGACTCATCAGTTCATAAATCCGCAGAGCCAGCTTTCCATCCAGTATATAACCCATCCCGCTGCAATACGGAGGATACCACTTGAATGGATATTCCTCGTAGGAGATGTAGGTTTTTTTGTAAAAGCCTCTGTAGGCAAAGTTACTGATAAGAGGATAACCAGTGAAAATATTTTCTGAAGAGTTTAGCTTCAGAAGAAATTTCACCAAGTTAGCGGTGTTGATGAAGACATCAGCGTCGGTCTTCATGAGGAATCGAGCATTTGGACAGAACTCGGTGACCCACCTGAACGCCATGATCGTTTTCAAGGTGAGATTGTCATAAGTGTCCATAAAATCTTGGCGGATTATGTCACCATAGAGGATGCTTTCATCTTCTACCGACAGCGCTGCAGCATCGTCTTCTCTTTGAGTGTCCTGACCTAGTAAGAACAGGGTTAGAATTCGATGTCCCCACCAGGAGTTTTGAGATCCCCACGTTATCCTGATGGCCTGCCTTGACTTCACATCCTTAGGACTCGAGGCCACCAAGATGACCAGAAATGGATTTACGTCTTTGCATTTCAGGTGCTCCTGCAGTGTGAAGAGGTAATGTTGCTTGTAAATCGGTTCATATTCATAGAAATACATATGGTTTGCATTCTCAATCACCGTGTTGGGAGAAAAAGCTATGTACCACATTGCCACGACAGAAGATACAAGGAGAAACAAAAAAATCCATTTTACTCGTTTCATACACATGACACAAACTGGAACTGGGCAATAACTAATTTGCAGACGTGCGTCGGTGACCTTCAAAATCCATACCACAAGTTCCAAAGCATGTTTCTTGCTGAAAAAGAAATGAAAAAGTAGTATTCAGAATGCTATTATTCAACTTCTGTCTTTTTCCTATCTTACGTGTCAGTTGAAAGTGTGCTATAATTAAACAAAGGCAAATCCACGACTCATCGGTCTGGCTGTTAGACACAGCATCCTACACACCATGAATCACTGCGCTACCCAGAGAGCAGAACACTGAGCTGCTGCTGAGCGTGGTATGGATTGAAACCTCACAGCTTTCACCTTGGAAATTCTCCCTACACAAACCTGATCTCTGCAAAAGATCGCACGTCGAGCATTGTGATCCCAGAGGTCTCAGCACAATGTCTTCGGCTCAATCAAATCTCAATGAAGGAATACCGTGCACAAAATCTAACGGCGACAAACTACTTGTCAAATTGATGTTTAGAGGCTTCAAAAATTTGTAATTTATTTTAAATTAAAGAAAGGAAGTCCTACTAATTTTTATAAACTGGAGCGTATCAGCCAAGAAAGTACATAAAAAGAAAAGGACAAGCAAGTATTTCCTCCCTCATTTAAGGGTCGAGCAGCTGCTTGTTCTGAATTGACTGCATAGGTGACTGGGGCAGGGGGGGAAGGAGAAAATCAACTTCCTTACGAACAACGTCAGAGCTGCGGACACGCAAACACAAACCTGTCTTGACAGACAGACTGAGATCTTACACCGCCTAAAGAAATGGCTACTCTCACAACATGCAACATTATACAGCAATCATTTATTGTCTGATACGTGCTTATTAAATCAAGCCATTTAATAAAGGGGCATTGCAACCAACTTTTGTCATCGCAGCTTTACAACTGACATAATGGGAGCAGCAGGGAATCCACTGCGGCAGACGAGGTTCAAATCTTAAAGAAGTTTTGGAAATTCTAATATTTTCCATTTAAACAAACAGGACACTGCAAAATCCTCGTGCTACTTCCATCTATTTAAGTTTTAATGAAGAAGGGATCCCATCAGCATTATTTTCATGAAAAACCCTACCCCCACCTGCCAGTGCATGAAAACGCGACCGATTCGCTCAGCTTCATCAGCCGTGCCACACAAACCAAAACCAGCAACTGGCACAAGAGAGAAAGAGGAACCAAAGCCATTTTGCGATTAGAGACACACATCTTGGTCTGGAGTCCAGTCTGCATGGGCAGGTACTTCCAAACCCCCGTGGAGTCCATGCTGAAGACATTACTACGGTGTCAGGACTAGATACTCAAATCAATACATCTTTCCAAAACTAAATTTAAAAATAGAATTTCAGTCCTGTACCCTCCATTTAGCAGTGCTTACCTTTACTATATTTCTTTAAAACTACATAAACCATGAACATATATTAGGTATCTTTAAGCTAAAATAATTACAATGGCTTACTGTGGGAGTTCCAAATGATTTCTACTGTTTGCAGTAATATTTACCCTGTGTTGTAAAGCATCCACAAAGACACCGTAAGGATGATGGAAGGTGCGATTTCACAGCATAATTAATTACTATTTAACTTATCTTCAAAAAGATCACTGCAGGGCTTGTAAATGTTTTATCTTTTAAAAAAAATAAATCCAAACCCCAACACAGCACGCTAGAATTTAGGTGAATTTGATTTACCAGAGCCCACCTGCCTTGTATTTCTGTGTACGATTTGACTTTAAATTAACGATCCTTTAAAAGGACGCGTTCGGAGCACATTTCACCAACGATGCATAGCGCACCACAGCCCTCAACAGGAAAAATGCCCTTCTCTTCCTATTTCAAATGCGTAAACCAAAGTAACGAGGTTGAAGAAACAAGGTCTGAAAGCTGAGCTGACATTTTTGTCAGAGGTGGTGCAGTCGCAGACCCTCCAGCTACCCCCAGGACAGGTTCTCCCCCACTTCCTGACCTTATTTCCCCAGTTTTTTCCTTCCAGTTGTACCGCAGCGGCAGGGGATACACAGCCAGAGCAACACCAGGTCAAGAACTGCTCCTTTCAGGGAAATACTTCCATTTGCTTCCAAGCTCGCAGCTTGCTGGCACGACACGATGGAGCCTGAGACTACGCCGACAGGTAACGCTGGCTGACTTTACAACGGATCTAAGAGAACAAGTACTGAGCATGCTCTGTAGTAATTTTAGCTACATCTCTCACACTCTGCTATAGCTGCTTAATTATTGAGGGCAGATATTCTTGACAGGAAAAGGGTGGCAAATTCTCATCTTCGTTACAGTCTAATAATTACAATAACCAATGGATAGTCCAATTTAAAGATAAAAAAAATACCGTATTTATAGCACTAGATGTATAGAATTTTATTTTTTTTTAAAGCTACCAGCAGAAATCATTTGGAAATCTATTACTGTTCCTGGCTTCTCATTTTCTTCTTAAGGCTTACTACCAGTAAACATCAGAGGAATTTTTGCAAGATCCTGGGCTGCGATGCTCTAATACAACAATACATTAGAAATTATTTTAAATAACCTTTAACAATTAATTGCTTTCACTTCAATTTGCCCAATCTTAATTCTCTGTCCTACCCAATTAATGAAGAGGTAAGAGCCCAAAAGGTAGAAATCATTAAGAGGAAACCCACCACGACCTGCTGAAACCCCATAAAACTTTAAAGCCATTTAAGTGTTTTCTACTTTAAAAAAAAAAGGAAAATACCGGTGACA